TTTAGGGCCTTTAGGGTTTTGGGTTTCGGATTCAGGGTTTAGGGCCTTTAGGGTTCAGGGTTTAAGGCAAGGCAAAGCTTCTCCGAAGAAGAAACCACCCAAGACACATGCATTTCGGGCGTCTCAAGACACTAGATGCACTTGCAGCACTAGAACTCTAGAAAGATGGGTGCGAAGTGGCTGAGCCTGCTTAAGGGATCATGCGACTTAGTAAGTAGGGTTATAAGTCCCTTAAATGGGTTATAAGTATAAGTATAGTTACCTTAGTTATAACCCTACTTACTAAGTCTCATAATCCTTTAAGTAGACATGACCAAGACCGGGCTACCGCCAAAGACTTCTCTACTCGATCCAGGACATGATGAAATCAGTCCCACAAAGAGCTATGCAAGCAGCTCCCACATAAACCCCACCATGATGATTTGCATATGTCTTTCCCTGTCACCAAGAGACGGGAAGCCCATGCTTATGCTTGTGTCCTTACCTGGCCTGCTGTGACAGGGGCCGCAGAAGGAGCGCGTAAGGCAGCAGCAGCGATGCACACAACAAGGACGCGAGCACCAGGTTCTCGGCCCGGTGGCAGCGGCGTGCGCGCCTCACCTTCACGGGAGGAAGCTCCTGAATCTGCTGCTGAAGCCTCGTCGGCAGAAGCCCCGAGAAGATGAACTCGTCCACGTGCAACACGGCCTCGAGCGCCACTGAGTTCAACATGAGTTCGGTGATGGACGTCGTGCCGGCCAGCCAGAGGCTACCTGCCACCAGCAGTGAACCACCAATGGCTGCACGGCCCAAACACACGAAGGCCATGGCGGCAGCACGTCGACCAGAAGGAGGCGGCCGTTCTGAAGCTCCCGAACTTAGGAAGATGCCCTGCAAGACGAACCAGATGCTGCGGAACTCCCGGTAGATGCACAAGTTCCACAGCAAGATGCAAAGCACTGCCAGCAGAACCCCAGGCTCGAAAGTGGAGCCGTCGAACTGCAGCGTGCTGAGGCCCAGGAAGCTGTTGATCTCCTAGGTTCCCCAGAAGCCCCTAAATGATAAGGGTGCCCTTTTTCCTACTATTTGGGTTACCCAGAAAGAGAAAGGGCAAAAGGGTGCTACTGGGGAACCTAGGAACCCTAAACCCTAAACCCTAAACCCTAAACCCTAAACCCTAAACCCTAAACCCTAAAACCCTAACCCTCAAACCCTAAACCCTAAACCCTCGAACCCTAAACACTAAACCCTAAACTGGAGCGAGCCGCGGGCGCCGCATTTGCCGGCGGCGAGCGATACCGCGTGGCGTCAGGCCCGCGGACGAGCC